TGATCTGCACGTCGTCGGTGCTCCACTTGCCGAAGAGCTTGATGTCGGGCGTCTCCGCCACCGCGGGGGCTGCCGTCTCCCACTCGCTCATCCTGGGGGCACAACCGCAGGGCCCTGCTCACCGCCTGGGACCCCGGAAGCCAAGAGGCGCCCGGGCCGCCGGGGCAGCTGCCTGCACGTCCTGAGCCCCGAGGGACCCCTCCAGGGTGAACCAGAAGGAGGCGCCTGCCCCCCAGGACCCCCGGGGTCCACCCTGCCGCGCGGACCGCAGCGGGGCCGCCGATAGCAAAGGCCCGAACTCGCATCCGCTGCCGTTCGATCCCCAACCCCGGGGTTCAGGGGCGCTGCGACCCCGGGAGAGTCCACAGCGTGGACCCCGCTTCCCCATCGGCAGCACCGACACGTGATCTGCCATCGAGGATCCCAGCGCAGAACCGGGCCGGGCCGACGGTCCGTGTCGGGCGCTAACGGGCACGAGGACTAAGCCGTGTGCAGAGCGGAGGGTGCACCGTGCACCTCGGAATAACGGGGACTCCCCCCGTGTCAGCACGGGGTGGCAGGGGCCCATCACCAGCCGCTGCCCGGCTGCCGGCAAAGCGACGGCGGCGGCCGGGATCCCACGACTTCCCTGCGCCTCCCCGGGTCCGTCCGCACGTTTTCCGGGAAGAGCGGTGCGGGCGCCCCAGGGCACCCCCAGGCCTCGCGGCCAGCCCGTGGCTCCCCGGGAGTCTCCGGGACGCCCATCCGACCCCCGACCCCGCGGCGGCCTCACCTTAGCGCGCAGCCGGGGCGTCTGGGGCGTCTCGGTCGCTCGTCGCGGACCACGCGCTCCGCTGACACAGACAGGAAGAGGCCGCGGGACGCGGGCCTACGCTTTTAACAGGGACGAACACTTCCGGGTCACCGGGCTGTATTTATGAACCAATCCGGAGCAAGCATGTAAAAGCTTCCTTGGCGAACGCGGGATGCGTCAACGCCGGACGCATGCGCACAAGCAGAAGCGTGCCCACCAGCCAGCCTGGCGGAAGTCGGACTTCTGGCGCTTGCCGGGCCTTGAGAGATCCTGCGCACGCGCAGAGGCCTCCTTGAGGCCAGCGCCGCCATGTCTATTGAGGGCAGATGTCCCGCTAGCGTTCGCCGCTGTGTTCGGCCGCTGATTTCACGTCCCACCTGCTGCAGGTTTCGAGCGGGTCCAGTCGGTTCGGCACCGTCTCATTTTCCGTGATGTCCGCTCCACCGGCACGCACGCGCCACAGGCTCGGGAGGCGGCGTGGGGTCCAGTGATGACGACCGCCCTCCGCTGGTCCCGGCCGCCGGGCGCGCATGCGCGGGCACCACGCGTGGCGGGGCCCCCTCCCCGCCCCCACCCGCGAGCTCGGGGCTGCTGCGGCCTGCGTCCCAGGAGGAGACATCTTTCAGTTCGGCCTCACCGATCACCCCGTCCGGGGCCCCCCATCGCTTCTCTACCCCCGTTATCACGCGCGGGCGGAGGCCGGGGAGGGGCGCCGTCCTGTGGGCCTAGGGCGTCGCCCAGACGGTTGCCTAGGGAACAGCCCCCACGCCCTGGGGTCCGTCCGGAGCCGGAGTTGACGCTGAGGTCGCTGGACGTGTGCAGGGGGTCGGCGTGGTGGAGGGGACCCCGACCTCTTTGCAGCCATACCCAGTGAGCCCTACCCCCACCCCATCTGTTAGGCGCCTCTGGCCTGGGGGTGGGCATCTGG